CTAAAACTATTTAGTCAAGAAATCTTGGAAGGGGTCTTTTCGATGAAAATGCGTGGAGTGCATTTCATTCACTCATTGTTTGAATGCAGGTTGATTTGCAGCCTCATAATAAATTTATGTTTTTATTTAAAAAAATTACAACTTGAACCTTTAATCTCTGCACTTCTTGGGGGTCTATTGATCTTGGCATACTTATGCTCAAAGAAAACAGAAAGTAACATGTCAATGATTGGAAGAGTGTAGGAGCTGATCTGCTCAAAAAAGTATCGTTCAAATAAAAAAAAAAATTCAGCTATCTTTATTTTTAAGTAACACTAATAGTTTTGGTACATTTTGTTAAGAAAAATTATTTTTATTTGGATTTTCTTTTAACCAAATCAATTTTTCCAAATTAATGGGTGGATTTTCAGTATGCCATTTTGCATTATGCATTTCTTTTAAGGGTTTGTACACATCTTCTCCAGGGGTGAAAATGAATGTGACCAGTGCTGTTTTTGCTAAGTCACATCAGGGAGATCACTGCGAGATGCAGAAATGATTAATTGTTCTCCAGCTCTGTAGATTTATTTGCAATGACTGAAAAACTCACAAAATATTAACATTGGAACCAAGAATTTACACTATTTGATTACATTATCAGTACTGAACATAGGCTGGCAATTTCTGTTTGTAGCAGTGTTTTGTCTCATATCCTGTTGATTTAGTAAACCTGGACATTGTTGTTTTCAGTTAAGCTCTTTAATACCACCACACACATTTTAAATAGCAACCAATGTTAGCTTTTAGCCCTGTCTCCAACAAAGACAAATGTTCTCAAAAAAATTCCTCTGTTTTGACTTGCTGTGCGGACGAGTGTTCGGGCTGTACTTTTTCCTAGTTATGGCAGATTCCACAATAGCAGGAGGGTGCGACGCTTTCTTTTTGATGGTAGGCTCTAAAGTTGTGCTCGCTGCGGGTTTCTCACCATCTCTCTTCTGTGAGAGAAGTCTGTTTTCTACAGTTGAAGGCTTGCTCAACTGCTCACAAGATGGCTGGTTTATGCTTGGCCGTGGAGGCAGTTTCTTGTCAGAATGTTTTGACTGATGTGAACTGTAGAATAAACAAACGCAGAAACACACGCAGGATTAATAGCAAGAGCATATAAAAAAAAAAAAAAAAAAAAAAAAAACTTTGGTCATGTTCAAGGATTTAAGTTTTGTGACGTGGAGTATTAATTCCCTGAATTGAAGTAGCCATCAGGAAATGCTCATAAATGGATGGATATGGTAAGCAACAACACTAAAGTCGGATGTGGCATTTGAACAGTTCATGACTCAGCAAGTCATCTTCACTGTGTCTGGATGCCTAAAGCATTGAGCTGCTGTCCAGGGAGTGTACATAATATTAACAAGTCCGTAGTGGTACTTACATGTCATATGTACTTCTCGTTCCCTTGACATCTTTCACATTTTGACTTGCGATTTTAGGTTGAGCCGTGGTTGTGGAACAACCATCTGCCTTGCTGGTGCAAGGTTCCTGCTTGGATGCAGTGTTGGATTCAGGGGGAGGGCTGCGAGAGCGAGGACTGTCGCTTTTCCTGACAATAAAGGAATGGCGCAGGATGCCTTTGGGAGTAATCCTCTTCTCTGCATCCCACTGAAGCATTGCCCTCATCAGTGCTATGCATTCCCTCCTCTCTTCTGTTGCAGCCAGTTTTTCATACTTCAGGTGACTCTTATTTACAAAACAGCACAATATCATCTGAGCGGTCACGGCGACAAACCTCAGTGCCAGTTGATGCTGTGTTATATTAATGGCTTACCATTTTAGCTTGATGCAAAAAGCGAAAGTTGAAGGACCTTCTGTGTTTATGGTGTTCCTCTCCCCAGTATTCCACAGGTGTCTGTAAAAGGATTTGTCTTTAAAATTCAACTTAGAGTACAAAGGTAAGAATGTCAAAAAAAATATTACTGTCCATCCATCGAAACAGTCAAAAATATTTACCTGCTTCCATATAAGGGATTTAGGCAGTCTATCTTTTGTACTATTTTTGTGTACTATGAACCAAATTTCTCACAAATAAGAAAACACACTCATTTGCCTGATATTGAAAGTCAGGATTGTTAATACATGGAGGACATTGTTCATTGTACCTTCAGTATCCACTGGTTAGAGTTTGACTTTTTAAAAAAATCTTCTGATTTTCTGCTGGCGTCAACAAGATGGTCTGGTGCTGGCCCCAGAACATCAGTGTAGTAGCGCAGCTAAAAAAAGAGAACCAAATATTATTTTTTGGATTTATATATATGAAAGAACATCTGTCACTTCAAATTGGGTACTGGAGTTGTAACAAACTTAAGAACAGGCTGTATGAGATTTTTGAATTATGATAACCTTGAGTTTGGTTGAACAGCAACATGGCATTAGCACCCATGTTTAAACAAAAAAAAGTAACACACAATCTAATTTAATTTCTTTTACATAGAAAAGCAGCCATAGTGGTGTCAAGGTAAACAAACCAATGGTTGGAACCCTCGGACTGCTTGCAGTCCTGCACACTTCAAATGGGTTTCATTTTTAGACAAAAAATATATTTAAATTTAAACGATTAAAGTAAGAAAAGCGTCTTTCTCACAACAATAACTTTGCCTCTAACAATATTAGATGTTTTTCTAAATGTCCAAACAGTTTGTAGTTTATTTGGAAGACATCATCGTAGTCTCTAATAAATATGAAACATGAAAATGTACATTTCATTTCCTTTTAATGAAAACAATCTACAACTGATAGTCGTAAGATTCAGTAACAAACTCTTCCAGTCTGACATTAGTGAAACTCTGTTGTCTGACAGGTTGAAAGGTGGTTCTGAGCTGAGCTCTCAGAAAGCCTTTGTGAAATGAAGAAGCTGGATGTAAACACTTTACACCAGTAACCTAGCCATTATCTTCAGAAATCTACTCGTCCCTTAGAATTGACGTAAAACACCAAGTATGACAAAAAATTAACCTCTAAAAGGGCAAATTAATCAAAGCTAAAAGCAAACTGTATAAAAACAGTACATGCGCTGCCATTACTACTGAACAAATTGCTAAGTAGACCAATTATTTATATGGTATGAATGTAATTTAAAGCAAAAAAAAAAAAAAAATAAATAAATAAAAATGTATGAATACAGTAAATTACTCACATTTTCATATTCACTCCTCCCTGGGAAAATTACACAGTTTAAAAGCATCTTTCCCATTACACACCCCAGTGACCAGATGTCCAAAGCTGTAGAATATGGGAGCCCGAGAATGAGTTCAGGAGCTCTAAAACAAGGAAAGTTGTTATTATTCAGGATTTATAATGCTGCATCAGCGTAAAGCCTGTATTACTTGATTGGCAGCCTAGAAACAACTCGAACATTTCTTTTTACAATTCTTACTTGTAAAAAAGACATTGATTGATTGTTTGATTATTTTGTTTGGTGCGGAGAGCCAAGCCAAAGTCAATCAGCTTGACCTGCAGTGGTTTCTTCCTTTGATCCACCACCATGATGTTGTTTGTTTTGAGGTCACTGTGGATGATTTGAACATTCTTCAGTCCCTCTAAAGCTGTGGCCAACTGAAAACATGATCATAATACAACATGGAGAGTGAGATTCAGATTGTGTTCTACATTAAATCATAAAATTTCCAGATTTATTCTTTTTATTTTATTTTATTTTTAGTTAATGTCAGACCTGCTGGATAACTGTTCTAATCTCTTGTAATTTCAATGGATGTCTTAGTTTAATGTAGTCTTTTAGATTGATGTCACACATTTCAAACACCAGACAGGAGTTTGTGCTGAAGCTTTGGTGAAACTTTATAATGTTCTTCTGATCCAACTTGTGCCTCATGAGATATCTCATCATTTCTGCCTGCAAATAACATAAAATAACCTCACATTTGGTGATTTGATTCTGATTTTTTTTTTTTTTTCAGCTTTTCACAGTATCACATATGGCTAGCGTCCTACCTCATGCTTCAATTTGTATTTCCCTTTGGCAAACTTCACGGCAACATCTTGCTGTGTGTAGGTGTCAAAGCATTTGAGCACGACTGCGGAGCCGCCTTCTCCCAGGTATTGAATGATTTCGAATCGCTGGGGAATTGGAGGACTGGCTTGAAAGCGTTTACTAGATGAAGGTGTAGAAGGAAAGCTCCCCATTGTGGATGGTGTTTCACATAGCTTATAAAGTGAAGCAGATGCTGAATTTAAAAAATACACACAACTTAAAATTTGCTGACGAAATTAAGCATTAATAAACAAATAAATTACCGGCCATGTGCAGCTTGATTGTTACAGGTTGGCTCCTTGAATCAGTTGATTTGTTGGTTAACAGATACGTTCTGAGAACATTTCAAAATTACTCTTTCAAAAAATGCACAATGCCCAAGAAATACCCACTTCCATAGAACTGTGACCGATTAGTACACTCTAAAAAGAAAATAGTTGAACCAACTTAATTGAATTTCTTTTATAGGCAACAAGCAATTCAATTAAGTTTATCCAACTTAATTTATTAAATTTAACCAATTCAATATATGATAATCATCCAACTAAATTTATTTTTTTTAAACAAATTTATTAAGAATGTTTAAGATAACCGATTTAAGTCAGTCTTATGTAACAGAGAGTCTGTGTGAGTTTTGATCGAAATGATTATAGTGATGGTTGTATGTATTTTTGATTTTG